GTGGTCTGCTATGTGCTACAAGGAAGGTTTCTAAAAGCTTTAAAAGATAAACAAACTCTAAACAGAAGAGAGCACAAATGGATCACAGGCTGTACCTGCTGAAAACAATGTCCAGATACATAATGGACAGAAACGAGATGAATTCCTTTGGGGGAAATCTAATACCTGTACCGGTAGACAGGAAAAAAGCAGAAGTAGCTAAACGAGCATGTGAGCGGTGAGAAAGAGAAATTACTGTACATTATTGCAGATGAAAGGTTGGGCAAATGAGCGTCTGCCTTGGGGCAATGGTTGGTTAACGATGCATAGAGTGGAAGCTCTTGTGAGGATCCACATGAGCATTTYATTGATTACATTTACATTCATCCACATACCCAAACAAGGAACTGAGACAAGAGCTGCATATAGGTTGCATTAAGGCTTCATTCACATTCACATGAATAATCCAAAAGCCAAGCACGAGAACTACGTGTTTGCTTCAAGTGAAACTGAATGCTGACTAATTATTTTAAGCCATTTGCTTGATCAAACAGGTGTGTTTGTCAACAAACTAACCCATAGGTAGAAATGAGTGCAACGGAGGAAGATGAGAAAAGTGATGTTGACGGTGAGGATGTATTTGTAAYAAACTCCTCGCTTCTTTTCCTGTTCTGATCTAACTGAGCAGTTTAACTCCACAGAAGTCCAATTCGATATCAGGAACAACATAAAGCCATTAAAGGGGGTATTATTMATTTTCCAGGCACATACTTCAAATCTATACCACAATGAAGTAACTATCTCACCTTTCAGTTGTTATTACAATGCTGTATTTATCAGAAATATCACCATTATAGCCTATTTTAATGCCTTGAAATTGTGGGATGGGAACTTAACTGCAGACTGAGCTCCAGGGAGGTGCTATGAACAAACAGGCGGTGCTTTGTACCAGCAACAGTTTATTCACCTCCACATGGCTCCCACAGGAGAGTCAAGGATTTCTCAAACTCTGGGAATGTGTTTGATGAGGGAATGAGATTATAACATGATAAAAAGATTTAAAAAAAAAACATTGATTTTGTATAATACTCCTCCCCCCTTTAAGAAAGTATTTTTAGGAAAAAAATCCCTCAGGTGAACACAGAATGGAAAAATGCCACATGACCACATCTTTCATTACAGCTAATTTTACAAATTGAATTTTTCTTTGAGTGCTGAGCCCTGCCACATTTCTTTCCGCTCCAAAGGAAGAAATAACTGAAATCACCACTTACATCAGTAATGAGATTATCATCTAAAAGGCCAAAACGGCCCAGAAAGGTCAGCCATTTTGTGCTTCAACATGGCTGCCCATATATTGCAATGTAAAGCTCTTTCCYCTTGCTTCTGTCTGAGTGGCTCTGCTTTGCACTTCCTCACRCTTTCATTTAAAATGCCAATTTGATGCTGGCTCAATGCTATCAGCTCAGCCATTACTCCTCATAAACTGTAGAATTCCTGATCTCTTTCTTTCTTTCTTTCTTTCTTTCTTTCTTTCTTTCTTTCTTTCTTTCTTTCTTTCTTTCTTTCTTTCTTTCTTTCTTTCTTTCTTTCTTCTGTTTCATTTTATTCCCCCCTTCATCATCTTCTTTTTATTCATTTGATTCCTTTGCTCCTTCACTTTTACTTATCATCCTCATGTTCTCACCATCCCCACCGCTTTTCATGTTACAACCTGTCACACTCCCTCTTCCCTTCTTTCCCTCCGCTCTTCTCTTTTTCTTAACGGGCCGTGGCATCGCTTCCTCATCGGCAGCTTAATTGGGCATTCTGCCTGAGACAAGGGCCTCATTAAGCAGTAATTACACACATGTTGTTTTCGGCAAACATCTCTATTTGGATTGCTTTGCATGGTAATTGTTCAGCAGGGACCACTGCTTGCGATGTTTCAATCCGTGACACACGTGGTGCTGGTAGAGAGGAATAAAAAAAAAGGCATGGAGAAGAGGAGGGGGATGGAAGAACAGAAGGAAAATAATAATAGGCTGTGAAGGAGAAACAAACTGAAAAGTAAAGCATGCATACATGAGATGGAGGTGAGAGTGATAGAAAAGCAGAAACAAAAAAAGCTGAAAGAATGAATTCAGAAAGACAGTGAAGAAAAGTCTAAAAGGAGCAGATTCTGTGCTAGTGGAAAATGAGTTAGAGGGAGAGAGAGATGAGAAAATGAGGAATAAAAGTGAAAAAAGGAAAATTCAGGAAAAAAAAATAAATGAGAGACTCCCAGAACTAGGTCACGCCAAGGAATCATCGACAAAGCTGAGCGTTTCAAAAATAATGAAGCCACAAGGTGGAAGTAATGCTAACTAGCATATCCAGAGAAAACGTAATATTTACACAGTTTTAATGGTGCAATACAATACTTGGATGTTTTCATCTAGGAGTGCTCAGTGAGACAGATGATGACAGGATTGGAGGCTCCGCTGAAGGTTGCTTTTGATTGATGGACAATTTATATAAGCCCCTCACTAAGCCTTCTAGGCAACATCTGTTTGTGAGGAGGAGGATGGGAGTGAAGATCAACTGCCTGTGTGTAAGGCCATAACTTCCCAGTCATTAGAGAGAGAAATGACATTGCACTAAAAAGAGACTAAAATTATTTTTAAAGACAGGAAACACTTCATCAAGGAAGATGGCTCCAATCATAGGTGTGAAACCTTACATACCMAGATCCAATTAATTAGTTAGACAAACACAACTCGTTTCAGGGCCTTGCTGTAAAACGTCTGTCAAAGCACAATTATTTGTGCAAATGAACTTACATAGCTAAAAAAAACTTGAAGGTTGATCCACCTCATTCTCATGCATAGCAGCTTTCATTCGAATTTAAAGTAAAAATGTGTATCTGTGCATACTTAACAACTGCATACTTGATGATAATAACAATAAATCTTTTTTGTWCATCACAATTTTAACAGTAAATGTAATAAAAGTAATTTAAAAATATGAACAATGAAATAAGCTTCAGACTAACTAAAAGCTACACAAATTACAACAAGAAAAACACTGTTGTAAACACTGCAGAATACGTCTTAAATCCTTTAAACCACTACAACAATGGAGCAAGTTTTACTGTATATTTTACGTCTAGCTTAGCCTTGCCAACTCAGCACCTCTAAAATACTGTAGTTGCAGAGTCTCCTTTGCTTTGCAGATTTCTCCATATATAAATAAATAATTCTAGTTAGCTGTGACTTTTGATGGGCAGAATCCACTGGACTCAGAAACAAGCATTGTAAATACAAAAATAAAAAAAAAATACTATTACTAATATGGAACAGTTTGCAACCCTAATCTAGTTGCTTCAGGAGAATGGTGWACTCTGCAGAAGACTTTCGACCTATGCTGCTCTTCCACTTTGAGTTTATTGCCACCTACTGGCCTGGAGTAAAATCAAGAGTGTTTGTGTCTTGGCTTCCATTTGCTTTATTTTGAAAAGAAAAATCACACATAGTTCTTCACTTCATTAATAAATCACAGCTATGACTGATGTGGCAAACATGATACATTTCTACGTACTGATAGTGTTTAAAAAAAATCTGTTGTGTCAACACTTTATCTAAACAAAAATGAGGTAAAAAGAAAAAGGCATTATGGTATTTCTGATTGTGCCAGCACATTTTTTTTACCTACTAATAATCACAGGCCTTTACTTTCTTCTTCTGCGCAACACCACAGACACTATCCTATTAACAATATATGAAGATGCAGCAAGAAACTGCATTTCTTTTAAGCTAACATTGATGTAGACTGCTGCAATGTGCCRTATGTACAGGTGTAGCAAAAAAAAAAGTCACACTGAAGAACAACCTCAACCAACTTTCTGAAGTTTTGAATTAATAAGAGAAAATTCTATAAGCAGAAAGTGTACWACGTGTGACTTTAAAAGCCTTTGCCAGTACACGAGTCTCTAAAAATAATTCTTTCAGCAAGCGGAATTAATAAACCCAGAACAGTACACAGCCATTCTGTGAAGAAAGGGGTGTGGTGAGGGGGGTCT